TTATGGTTAAAAAGTTTTTTTTAAAAAAATTTACATAAAAATATTTAAATTTACGTATAAAATATTTTTATTTTGAAAATGTGTGGTTAAAAATAAATTTGAGAAAAAAAGAATTTTGTTTATAGGGGCATATACTCCACCGTGTCCTTGATTTAATACTAACAGCCTGTTTGGGGGGAATTTTTTACTCCAAAAAATTGATTTTTTGAACGTTATTTCACTATTTCAACCGTAATTTTTTACTTCTTCTCTCACAGATGGACTCCACTTTTCTTTTAATGGTCAAAAAATTAATTCTCAAAATCCCTCCCAAACGGGACCTAAGGTTTTGTTTGGCAAAAGCTGATTATGAGATTAAGAAAGTGTTTATAAAGATGTTTCGATATTTTTTTAGCAAGAATTTTGTTTGGTTAGAATAGTTTTTAAAGGAAATTGATCTAAAGTGACTTCTTCAATTAAATTGTATGATAAAAGGAGAAAGCATAAGTTCTACCAAATACGCCCTAAAAAATCTTAATTTTCTTAGTGTGTCACGCAAGCCTTTTGTCTTGTACTTATTTTGTCTGTTTGTAAATATTATGCCATCAATACCCATTTTCTAAGATCAACTTTATAATAAGACTAATCTAAAATTTACAGGTTAATTATTATTTTTATATTTAAGAAATGTGAAATTTTAATCATCCTAATATATTCTGTTGGGTCTGATAGTGTGATTGGCAATTCTGCAGACAAAATGGGCTTAAATGTATGTTTGTAAAAGTCAGAGACTCAATTGAATATTCTTATAAAAATCAAGAGCTTAGGGTAGTGTTCGAGTCATTGAAGGAGTCCAAAAAGATTACATAAGATCATTGGAATGCAATTAGAAGTCTAAAGGATATCAAAAAGACACACAAATTATGTTCTGAATTTTCAGTCGTAACTTTCAAAGCATTTTTAACATTGAAAACGTTGGAATTGGGACAATGCTACTTTAGAATAATTGTAGTCGTTTGAGTTAGCTTTTCAACGCAAGTTGAATTACCTCAATCGGATATCGAGAGAGAAAGTTATTATGAAAATACGGACGGCTGCTCAGCTGTCTCTTGCTCCTCGCTCGAGCGATGATGTCATCCGGCCAAACTCTAGGTCGCGATTTTGAGAGTTTTACATGGCCCAAGACTTATATTTTCCCCCAACTATAAATACAGAAGTCTTGCACGAGAATTTGAAAGGTTACTACATTATTATTTCATTGCCAAACGTATTCATAATATTTTTGAAGAGATCCAATGTGCAATTAATTGATGATTCCATCTACATCAATCTTGTGATCTGACAACCATCGTTTTGGGAAAAACATCGAATTTACATAATCCAAAACACCATTCTTTCTTAATCTTTTAAGGAAGGGATTCTCTCATTGGGGATTGAGAGAAGTGGATGTCAAGCACAGTGAATTGAAAAAGAACGGACGATTATTAGAATTCCACTTGGTGATACAATTAGTTAAGGACCACGAGACTGTAGTGGACACCAGATTGAATTGCGGGAGGTAGATTAAAAAGTCTAGCAAGATGCTAGAGATATCTAGGGCAGTAGATCGTGAGACTAGAATAGCGGGTATGATTGAGTCCAGAGTTTGGTATTACTTGTACTTGTTGAATTGGTATAGTGGACATCATTGACTTGGTCCCGAAATTTTTCCCACATTGGGTTTCTCTATCAACAAACTGTGAGTTGTGTTGATTTGTTTATTTTATATATTGCAAACCGACAATTCAACATAGAATTAACTGGACTTATATGTTTAACCACCTAGACAACAACTAATTAAAGTGAAATGTTGCTTTAATGATTAATTCCGCAGTAATGTCAAATTGGTTAAATTGTAATCTTGAATGTAAATGTGGTAACGCTAAAATTTTGAATTTAACATTGTATCACGTTAAACGAACTTTCTAGCATTCTATGTGACTTTTCAAATGGTATCAAAACATACTAGAATTTTCATATTTTATTCAACTTTATTAATTTTATTTTGTTTCACCTATAGTATTTAAAATATCAAAATACAAACAAAAGTGTAGGGATAAGATAAGACAAAGAACAATGCTCCTATTATTGGGCTTGACTTTACACAACCACAGTCTACTACAAACCAAAAAAGGGCAATTTACAAAAATGCCCTTTAGGGGCCTTTTAAAAAATCATGTGCAAACTTTTTTGAAGTACAACATACTATGTAATATTAAAAAGTAACACGATGCTACTTTTTTATTAAAAAAAATAATAATTATGTCACTTTTTAATAAAAAGGTAATACAATGTCACTTTTAAAAGTTAAGTATCATTTTTTAATTAAAAAATGATGTATAACGTCACTTTTATTAAAATGTAATGTTTGTTATTGAAAAAGTGATAGAAATAAAAAAAGTAACTGAAAAAAAGTGACAAACACTAAAAAAAGTGATAAAAATTCAAAAGTGAGAAATTCAAAAAAGTTATAGAAATAAAAAAAAACAAACAATAAAAAAAAAGAAAGAAATTCTAAAAAAATAAAAAAAAAAAAGTGACAAAAAAATCTAAAAAGTGACAAAACACCAATCAAAATATAAATACACCCTTTTATACAAGTGACAAAACACCAATCAAAATATAAATACACCCTTTTATACAAATTCAACCACTCCACTACCACCATAGTCATATGACACACAAAAGTCGCTTGTCCGACCAATGCTTTTCAATTGTCTTGAAAGGACAACATCAGCCCGTCACATTAGCATTCTAACAATACATGCATGCATTTGCGATTACATTCCTCCCTCACATGGACCTCTTTGACTGCTTCAATGTATATATAGCTCTTGATACGACAAAGTGATATAACAAATCTAGGCTATGGTTGAGCCACAATTTTTCAAAAAAATACATTCTTAAACAGTGATTTGACATCATTTTTTCCATATACTCTTCAATAAAATAATATTATACGCAAATTTAAAACTTTTTCTTTATTTTTTGATCACACATTTCTCATCAATACACTATTTAAAAATGCATTCTTTGAAATATAATATGGCTCAAACAAAGGCTATCTGTGTCCCTTTTCGATGCACTTTTGAAACTAAAACCACTAACATTGTTGATTTAGCCACGGCCTTCACCTCCCAACTCTTCTTCTTTTCCTTCCCTGCCCTTTTCCAACTCCATTGTAGACTCAATATTAGCATCATCATCACTCGCATTAATCTCATCTTCCTCATCCAAAAAATTGTTGTAACTAATACTATTTCCATTCCATTGTACACTGTGAACCCTTTAATCGACTTTCGTCGATCCATGCAATAAATGGTGGAGGCTCTCGAAATTATTGATTTCCACCTGGAATTGCTTGCATTAACTTCTCATGCGCTATCTATCCTTAAACTCCAAGAGCACCCATAAATTCATCGTCGTTGCTTGAGGTTATAACGTATTTAATACGTTATTGGATAATTATTTAGTTAATAAGAGTATTAATCAATAATTTAGGGCATTGGGTCTAATTTACCCAACAAAAAAGACCTATAATCAATTGCAATCTACAGCCACAAGCTGGCCCATTGTGGCCCCACAAGGGAACACTACTACGAGGATAAATAAGTATTTTTCAACACACGGCCCAATCGTGGGCCCACAGTGTCCATTGCCCAGTGACCATCGGCGCCTCGCTACTCTACTTGATGTGACTACGTATCTTGTGCCACGTCACTTTTATTATAAAGGTCATCTAGCTTTGAGAAATATTTCGTTTTAGTCAGTAAATAAGATTTCAGTACAAAAATTGTACTATTTAAATACATTTTTTTTCTTTTGAAATTAGTTTTGAAATAGTGATTTTTTAAGTATGTATGGTTAAAAAGTATGTAGAAGTTTTAGATTTACATATAAAATATTTTATTGTGAAAATAAGTGGTTGAGAATGAGTTTTAGAAAAAAATTGAAAATTGGTTGTCAAATGACTAATTTCATTTTAAACTGGCATCAATTCAATGCGTTGGCTAGATAATAATATGAATTTAGTCCTTGTTTGAGCCTATCTTTTAATGTTGCATTATTTAAATTTTTTTCTTTTTTGAAATAATAATTATGTAGATAAACATCACTTCTTTATTTTTATTTTTATTTTTCAATTTATAAGTTGTGACATCAATGTATAATGTATAACCAGAAAACAAACAAGTTCCATTGATGACCATATTGTTCATGCAAGAAACTTCGTCTAGCATCTAATGTTAATTTGTGTAACTCAAACTCGATTATTCGTGTTGAAATTAAAATGAAATATAAATTTAAGAGTATGTTTAATTGACTTTATTTTTTATGAAAATGTCACTTTCCACTCAAATTCTTATTTACATGATATTTGGTTGACAATTTTTATCATTAAAAATATTTTTCAATTTTTGTTCAGTGACCATATTTTTCTCAAAAATAAAGAAAATAGGGGGTGATTTTTATTTTTAAGATAATTCACTATCCTTTTCTTTTTTATTCTCTTTCATTTACCCACCAAAGTAAAATGGACGAGTAAAATATTTTCTAAATTGAAAACTAAATAAATCAAACACATTTAACTAATAATTTTCATACGAATAAGTTCAACTGCTTGGAATATACTTATTCATGCAAATTCCATATTTGCAAGCCCTCGTTTAGCCTCCTATTATTTCAAATTTTAATTGGTGGAATAGTATTTTTTGAGAATATGTGGTTGAAAAAAATGAAAAAAATTTCAATTTACATGTCATATTATTTTATGAAAGAGTGTGTTGTTAAAAATAAGAAAGAAAAAAATAAGATTTAATTTAATAGAGACCAACCGGAGGCAAATCCACCTTAAGTGATTTGTTAGGAAACAATTTGGTGACTGAAATGAAACTTGGGTAAAAGTTGGGTGGCCTCTGATGTTTCTAACCTCACTTTTTAACCGTCTGATACGTAAAAGCGAAACGCCTCTCTCTCTCTCTCTCTCTCTCTCTCTCTCTCCAAGGACATTGTCACTATTCACTGCACCGAATACACCTATTTCGCGGGGTTTTCCTCGCTCTATACATACAGATACAGGTTGTATCTACCTCTCTGTAAGAGTGTTCCTCCTGTAAGCTAATACTTTTTCTTTCTTCTCCGGCATCGAGGAAAACGCTTCATGCAATTCCAAGAAGATTTCTTGCTTTATCTGGCTCCTGAATTCTTTGCGTTGAGTGTAAGAACATTTTTAATCTGTCATTATTTATAATTTTTGGTTAAAAAAGACTGATTGGTTTTCAGTAAATGTGTATGTGGATTTGCATTTTCTTGAACTATTTTGCAGTAAGTGTTGGAGTAAATTGGTGAAAGTAAAAGCCTCAACACATTTTTTGGGGTTGTTTTTACTCAAATTATTGTTCGCGTGAACGTATTTTCTTTTTTTCTTTCTTTTTATCTTTTGGATATATATTTGAGTGCTTGTGCGTTTTTTTGTTGATTGAGCTGCAATTTTTGATATCTATATTTTTCGTTCTTTAGGTCTGAATCATTCGAATTACGATTTGTAATATTGAAGAAAAATCAGTGTCTCATGCTTGCATGTTACCATTTTTAATTTTGTTTTCTGACACTTTTTTTTTTTTTTTTTTTTTGGAAGGATGTTAGATTTTGATTTATCTAACTTTTTGGGTTCAATGGAAAATATTTTTTTCTGGGTGTGTACTGTTTTTGGACAGCATTGTAAATCCACTGTTATGAATAAATTGCTTCTTTGTAAATTATAATCTTGAAGAGAGTTGAGTCCTGGAACCAACTGGCGGAAAAATCCATGAATCGAAGTAATTTCGGGGGATTTGATTTTGATTTATGTGTCTGAAATTTATTTTGGTAATCGAGACCTCAATAATTTTCTAGTCTTCTGTATTTGAGGAGAAAGTGTATGGACTCGAATGAAAATTGTTGAATTGATTATTGTTGCTTTTCTCAGGAAGAAAAGCAGACCTATTTGTGACTGTCTTTAGATGCCAAGTTTCGTATTGAATCAAGAGGACAAANTTGTTGCTTTTCTCAGGAAGAAAAGCAGACCTATTTGTGACTGTCTTTAGATGCCAAGTTTCGTATTGAATCAAGAGGACAAAATATTTTCTCAGTTAAGTCAATGACTGTAGGGGTGTGCCATGTTATCTGATATTAAACCTAAAGCTACATGTGCTGGAACTGTTAGGGAAATGAGTCGTAGATTAGAGCAGAAACGGAGGTCAACACCACAGCAAACCTCAGATCCTGTGAAACAGAAGATTCCACCACCCCGGGCTGATACAAGTGCACAATATCGAGATATATTTGGATCAGGACATTCATTTGGCCAACCATACAATGGTCTGCATAGAGAATCAAGACAGCATGGAAGCATTGATAAGGCGATCCAATTTAGGTATTCCGAGAATCACCAGACGACACAGCAGGGGAGTAAGACATGTAAAGATGAGGAGCTTGTTAAGCACATGTCGAAATTACCTAACTTTCTCCAGGAGGTAGAGAAAGAAAAGAGTGTCCAAGAAAAGGCATTGAATTTTGGAGTTCTTGATTGGAACCGATTACAGAAATGGAAGTACAACGATCGTATGCCTGCAAAATGCCACAGGAAAACTTCATCATTGAGCAATAATTCCTCGTTTATGACAAGTGGACCACCTAAAATTAGTTCACAGCTGAGAAAACAACTAACATCACACAGTTTACATCCTATTTTATCATCACAGGGAAAGCAACCCTCGGCTCACAGTTCACATTTCGGTTCATCACCTTTGAGAAAACAATTCCCATCACAGAGTTCATATCTTAGTTCATCTCAGGTGGAAAGAAAGACGGGAGGCATTGGAGAGTCCACAGGAAAGGGCACATATATCAAAGATTTGCAAGCTCGACGTACCACCGCGGATGGGCAGCAATGCAATTTCAATCAGAAAGCTAAGTCTTTTGGAAGGGATCATTCTGAAATAAATATGAACCGTGGCAAGAGTAACGATTCGATGAAAAAGATAGTATTGGAAAAGGAAGCTTTGGCCTTGGACCGGGGTAAAAATGGGTCCTCCATCTCTTCACCTAAAACAATCAATTTTCTGGAGGGGAAGAGTAAGATGCGATTCAAAGATGAAGTCAACCTTACTACTCAGCATAGCGTTGTGGAGGCCCAAAACATTGTACTTCTGGTACCCAAACATTTCCCAAAGACGAGTTGCTCAGACATTTCTCAGTTTGCAGAATCCAAGACTTTAGATGGACAATCGCCACAAGGATATTGGACCAGATTTTCTGATGGCTTTTCTCCTCAGGAGCTTCAATCAGGAGAATTTGCATCTAACATTCCACATTCATGTCCCTTGTCTACTAGTTCTATTGTCGACACTGAGTCTAGTATGGAGCCACCTAACTTGGTCAATGCCGAGGTCGTGGACTCAGAATTTTGCATTAGTGCAGATCCAGATGATATAATTGTCCCACCCATAAAATGTGAAGCAAAACGTTCATTTTCAGTCGATGCTTCCAAGGGAATGCATGCCGACGCGGAACAGAAAGCTGAGAAAGGAAGACATCCATCCCCTAATCGCCGCTTCAGCTTTAGCCTTGGGAAGATGACCAGAAGCTTTAGCTTTAAGGAGAGCTCAGCAGTTCCACAGTTGAGTTCTACAGATACTGCTCCAAAGTCTGGCCCAGTTGGATCTGAGTTTTCTTCTAGTATGGAGAGCTACAACAAAGTCAAAGAGGCTGCTAGTAGCCGAGGGAGGTCCAGCCCTTTAAGAAGGTTACTGGAGCCGTTGCTGAAGTATAAAGGAGCTCATTCGGCTGAGATTGTTCCTCATTCAGATGGAAACTCGCATGACATGCCCTCCAAGCCTATGAACCTCAACAGACCAATTCAAGACAGGAAGCATGAGGCGTCTACTTTTCAGGCTCTTCTGCAGCTTTCAGTGAAGAATGGACTCCCTTTTTTCAAACTTGCAGCTGATAATAGTAACAACATGCTGGCTGCTACTGTGAAGAAGTTGCCATCGTCCGGAAAGGGTGATTGCAGCTTGATTTGTACATTCTACTCTGTTCATGAAATTAAGAAAAAGAGTATGAGCTGGATAAATCAAGGAACAAAAGGTAAAAGTTGCGAACTTGGCTATAATATCGTTGCCCAAATGAAGATTTCAAGCTCTTATCTCCCTCAATTAAATTCTAAGGACTCTAGTCAAGGTGTGGTAAGAGAATGTGTCTTGTATGGTGTTGATCTCGGCCAGGTGGATAAAAAAACATCTGAGATTTTGTTTAATATGGAGATTGCAGCAATAGTTATAAAGAACACCTGTGAGAGGCTAGAGGGTGAAGATTTGAGCGACAAAGGCAGAACATTCAAGTATAGAGAGATCACAAGGTGTCTCTCAGGAGAAGATGGGAACCCCAATAGCACAGTAGTAATTCTTCCTGTTGGAATTCATGGCTTACCAAATAAAGGTGCACCCTCACCATTAATTAACCGATGGAAATCTGGTGGATCATGTGATTGTGGAGGCTGGGATGTTGGTTGCAAGCTCCAAATCCTCGCTAACCATGAAAGATGCAGCAAGATTACAGGACCATCTGCGCACAGCTTGGCATCAGATCGTCTTGATCTTTTTGTTCAGGTACCATTTCAATGATTCGGATTTTTTACTTTTCTCCTCCTTATAGGCCTAGTCGTAAGTAAAGAATATAATTGTATCCTGTACTTATTTACAGTCTGGAGAGCGAGGGAGCAAGCCTATTTTCAGCTTGAAACCAACAAGCAATGGATTTTACTCTGTTGAATTCAATGCTTCCATTTCTTTGCTAGAGACATTTTCTGTATGCGTAGCCATCTTAACTAATCGAAAGCTATCTGAAATCTTAGACGTGAATGATCTGTCGGAAGCTGCTCGTTTATCAGAAGGCACGATTGGACAGGATAAGGTGAAGTCACAAACCACACTTCAGGTGCCTGTAAAGTATGTCACTTATCCACCCTCCTCGCCAGTTGGAAGGATCTAGGCAGGTGCAAGGGATCCAGCTTCCGAGGCAGTTTTTGTGTGTAAGCTATGGCAAATTTTGGGAGCCTTCGTTTTACTCCTGAAATGTGCAAACCTTATGCATCGGTTATCAGGCTAACCATCAAGGAGTATCCACCTTATATACAATATAATTTGGTCCATGGAGCCTAAAAAGCTTCAACCATGGCACCACAGTTAGCAGTGAGTTGGCCTAGTAGCTGACTTAAGTGTTTCTGTACAAATCTTCATCTTCTTTGACATGTCTAGTTTATTGAGCCTTTCTCTAAGGCAGTGCCCAGATCACAATATTAAGACATTGTTTTGAACATCTGGGGCAGTAGGTCTTCCGCTCTAAGAGACGATCTTCCTCAGCTATAGATATTAAGTAAATGTACTTTGAAAACAGTCTTGTGATGGAGAAATCTTGCACAATATCTGTATTTTGTAATAATCGTTCTAGTTTGTAAAGTTAAATTTCATGTGGGAAATAATGAGAGTTTGAGATAAGAAGCGAGCATTTCCCTGATTCATAGACCGCCATGGAAATATAAGAGAATACAAAAATGGTTTCTTTCCTTTTGTTTGAAAAGATAAGAGAATTGCCAGCACGATTAAAGGAAGTACAGCAAATCTCCACAAGCACTAAAAACTAAGTTTTACCACCTGATATTGATGGCCAAAAAACTCGCTACGCCCAACGGGCCCCCACCCCGAACGGGTAGGCGGGGTGGGACAACGTGGGCGCTGTGAAGGAAAAAAAAAATTTTAAAAAGAATAAAAATAATTTTATTTCTAAAAAATTCACCCTTAAAAAACTCATTTTGAATTTGTATTTTATTCTCTAATAATAACATAACTCGAAACTTTGAAAATGTAAAAAAAATAAAAAATTAAATGGGGCCTCATCCCTACCCCGCCCCGTTGCCATCTCTAAGTACGCTAGTTCACAAATCAACATATGATGCATTACGAATCGACATGAACCATTGACTGTCAATCCTCTCAAATATGTTTGTGGCGAACTGTCTTCCCCAACTACTGCCTTTAGTCTTCACCAATTCGATGCATGTCACGTAGCCTACGTCCCCTCTAACATGAACCTGAACGTCCTTTATATCAATTTCTAGTGGGAAGCCATAGTCGGCCCATACAAATTCCCAGCTTCCCATTACAAGATCATAACCCGATATGCCACTCACACCAGGGTGCACAACACACACATGATCACCCTTCGACCAGTGAGCCTGCATAGACTCTAAATCCCCATTTCTGAATGAATTATAAAATCTAGCATTTGCTGCTAATATTGAAGACTTGCTGTCCTCCTGGAGAAGCTTAAGGCTATCCCTGATTTTTGCAGCCTGTGCATAATTCTCTTCTTCAATAGCAATCTGTAATTCACGCTCTAAAGTCTGCTCATCTAGTAATATGCTTTCACCACTCAGGTTTCCACCATAGTCCTCACTTCTAACTCGACATGAACCCGACTGACATGATCTGGAGGCTTTCCTCATGGGTACAGTTCTGAAAAAATACAAAATTAGGACATGTAGCAGCTAAAAGCAAAATAATGCATAGGGATATGGCATCCAAACACGAGTTACGTGTTTCAACTTACATTTAGATTCCAAGTACAATAGACACGGCCAAACATATTTTTTTTCCAAGACAATGAGAAATTAATATATCAACTTAGATAACGAACGTTATAGGCCACAATATCTCAATGTTTATCTACTGAAGTTGTTACGACAGAAAAAATAAGCCCATGTTGATAGAAATTAAAATATAAATTTTTATCAAATTCAAAGTCAACAATTAATTTTAACTACATATTTCATGGGATCCATAACTTTTCAACCACACATTTCATCAACTTTTATCAAAATATACTAAAAATTTCCACCTAAGGGCTACATAACTGAGGAAGAAGGTAAATGGAGATGAACTCCAACTTTCAATTACCAATGCAAAATCTATAGTTGCTACCATTTCAGCATAGCAACAATGAGAGAGAAATTGAAGTGATCGCTTAGAGTTTGAGACAAAAAGCATCTACGTACAGAGAAAATACTTTGCAGAGAAAGTACTTTAGCCTTGAAATGTTTTCTGTTATTTGCATGCAAACTTCTTCCCATTTCTTGTTGGCGTTAGGAGATTCAACTATATAATATATCATCGGCCTTCAAAATCAGAACGTATATTACAGAACATAGGGGAAAGCCAGGTGGTTAAGGTTACGCAACATTCATGACTGGTGCATGGGACTTTAATTTCAAACAAACAAACAACTTACTCACCATTATATGTTGCAAAGTGTTGATCATGTCAGATCCTACTCCAAAACTTCCAGCAACAATTAAATAGCATTGCTCGTGCAGATTCGAATGAAGGATTCCAGTGCTATTGATGCAGATGTGCGATCTCTACTATCAAACATTCCCTGAAAATAAAAAGCTTTAAGATTATGACACTGTTAGGAAAAACCTCTTAAAGACTACCAGCAACATACATACTTTTTGTTTTTCATGCTTTACCGAACTCCAACTATGCCCAGCTGGAGGTTCCAATTGTAAGGTTTCTTTTCCCTTCTTATTCTTCTTCTTTTTTTCTTTCGTTGTCATTATTTAAACAGCAGATTTTAATTGTGAATAATGCTAATTGCAATTATAGCCACTATATGCTTTTAACCTCCCCCCCCCCGCAACCCCCACCACGCCCATAATAATAATAATAATAATAAAGTGAGCAATCTAAAATTACAGATATTTAGTTCACACATCTCATAAAAATATGCCTCTGTTTGTATTTAATCACATATAATTACAGACTCAAGTAATTCATAGACAGCTCAAACATAAGGGTGCTTTTGGCAGCAAAAGCCCAGGGCTTCAGAATTGCAATAAGGAATACGATTCCATCACATTCACATATAATTATTTCCGAGTCCCAATTCGAAGTGGCTACTAGCATAGCCTCAAATAAAATTAAAACGAAAATTTGAAAAAAAGAAAAATATACTTTAAAATACAAAACTGAAATGAAGATCCTCTGCTTACATTTTTAAAGAGAACAGATCGATTCAGCTGAGGATGGATAGAAAGCACATAAAAATTCAATGCCTCCTGTTGACACATAAAATTTCAGCCCAAATCGAACAGCCCAGAGAGCAAAGCCCAATTGGAGGATCCCCAAATCAGATAGCCCAAAGAACAAAATCCAATTGAACGAATCAAGGTGAAGGCCCAAATAAGGGGCCCAATAGTGCGGTAACGCCATCGCCCAAGTTTGCAAGTCGCTCAGAGTCTGAACGAATAGAGTGGCATACGGTCGCCCGGAGTCTCGCCCAAATCTTCAAGTCGCCCAAGGTATCAACAAACATAACGCATTATGATTATCAAGAAATGCAGTTATTGAGGCAGTTGCTAAAGTAACCTTACCACGTTCCACGACTCAAGGGGTTCAATCGAAAGCGGTTGAACGATGCAAGATAATGGCAACAGTTAAAAGGACAGTTTCATGACAAAATGGCCACTACAAAGAAAGTGGGTAGTTATAGGGCGATCAAGCAGTTTTTTTAGAGCAGTTAATCACAAAGGGATCGCCTATGAAGTATAAAAGGGAGAAAGAACATAGAAGCAAAGGACCGAATCCAAAACTCTCGAACAGAGAATATGTAATTTTCATTTCTTTAGCTTTTAGACTTAAACACTTCATTTTCTGTAACTCGTGTGCTTGCGCCCCTTGGAGGCACGTTGTTTTCCGTTTCCAATTGTAAAGTTCATCGCCAATAAAAGGAACACCCATTTTTGGAACTTTGTCTTAAGAGGTTTCGTCCCTTACACAATCGTCCGATCCTCTTTAATTGTTAGCGAATTAACACCCGCGAAACAATTTGGCACGCCCAGTGGGACGGTGGTGTTAGGTGTTGAAGGTGCAAAAGGTGAAACAATATACCTCAGAGATCCGACAAAGAAGGAGCAAGTCAGAGAGGAATCCAGTCTGTAATCGAGCGATATGAGGAGCAACATGCCTCTCCACGAACAGATGGACAAAATCAGAGCAGTAACAGT